TTGACTGTTTTTGATTTAAATCAGAAATGTTGGTTATGCAGTTTGCTTAAGTGAAACACGAGAAAGGTATCGTGAGATTTCTTTGTATTGGTTTGTTGAAGATTTTTTTTCTTGAAATTGCTAATTGTTGTACTTAGAAATATGGAGAAAATGATCTCGGAATACTCAATAATATTAGATAGAATCGTCAAATTCCTTTGATATTCTTTGTTTAAAGGCACTTCAGTAATAAAGGCAGATATATCTGCTGCTTAAAAATGATACAAAAATGTTTTATTATTTTAAGTTTAAAAAGACATGAGTAGAAAAGGAAAAGTACTTGTTAGTCTACATTTCTATCCATACTGTCATCCGAAACGACTCTCATATTTTGAACAATCAGTAATTAAAAACCTAATTACTTACTTCTTCTGAAAAGAATGAATTTATTCAGCTCATATAAAGCAAGTAATTTGATTACTAATACACGACTGATTTAGGATATGTGACTTCTTTCAGATGACAATATGGACAGAAAATGCTTATAAGCTCTTCTTCTTGAGTATGTTCCAATGACATCATAAAACGACTTTCAATTTCTATAGAACAATAAAATAATAAAAAACGAAGTCTTTCAAGTTTGTCTCTCAAAAAAAAATGCTAATAACGACGTCTTCTTTTATTTTTTCCATGAGAGATATTTGATTTAGCTTCATTCGTTGGACTAATATTATCTTGAAATTGCTCATCGTGATCATTGTCAACGGTGAACGAATTTTGACTTGTTTGTTTCTCGATGTGCTGGCTTTGTTGTCGTTTGAGACAATTTACTCTCTGGTGTCGAGAATTAATTGACAAACATGGATCTGTAACATGATTTTGTAACCTTGTTAAAATAAAATTATTATTTGTGAATAAAAATTATATTAAATGTAGAAATTACTCATTTAGAACAACTGGTGTTTTATCATGTAAATCAACACTATTATTTGAATAAGATGAATTTGTTAAATCAGGACCATTGGTTTCGTTTTCTCGATTGATAGATGCATTGTTTTCGATGATTTTATGTTGTGTTGAAGTCTGTGAATTGCTACTTTGTATTGTTGAATTGCTATAGAGTGAATGTGAAGGTGCTGCTTGTAGTTGATTTGTTTCGTTCATAATCTCGATATTGTTTTCCTTGATTAACAGACGCATTGCGTTTGACAGAAAACGTTTATCGTTATGAAAAATACAATATAAAAATCTCACTACACGACTGTTTTTTCGAAAATTCAGTTCGAAAATGTTGTACATAGCGATAAGTAGACCTAAAGCATAATCTGGTGATGTTGTGGAAACAATTAATATAAAGTCGACATAAATATGGATTTGGTCATTAATAAAAATCAAAGTAGGATATGGTGTTGTTGGTTCCTATAAAAGAATAATGTTAATAGATTCGTAAACTTAGTGAAGAAAAAAAGCATTAATTATACGTAAATCTCATTTGTGTACGTTTTTTGACTGCTTGAGGCTTTCTGTGTGGCAGTAAATTGAGTTTCGAGTAATAGCTGCATTCATGAGAAATGAATTACTAACAAACATGGAGAGTGAGAATGTGGCAGCACACTTAAGTGAAAAAAGTGCTTGATCTGTTGAAACAATTTGACCAAGAAAAGACGAAGATTTACTGGACTTTTCATTAGTTGATATTAGGGATGTTTCTTTATGCTTACTTTATGAAATAAAGACCAATACAATCTTTATATTTGAAAGATAAAGATAAATGAAGTCTTGATATTTATAGCATGAAGCTTAAAGAATTGTAAAAATCTTTACCTTTAGAAAATAAAAGTAAATGTTATCCTTATATTCAAAAAAATAAAGAAAATTTATCATCTATTTTTGAAAAGTAAAGAAAACATAAAGATAAATGTACGATGCTTTTAATGATCAAAAAAGAAAAATATCATGCTATAGAAACACAATATATTAGCTAGAAGTTTATTCATTAGATATATTTCGTCGAGTCGAAAATTGGATGTGCAAAATAAGATGTATAAAAAAATTCATTATTTACAGATATTTTCCATGGTGGCTTAATACAATCGCTAAGAATTTCAGATACCAGACAAAAAGAATTAATATTCAAAAAGAAACACTAATCAATTTTATAGTGTAAAAAAGATGTCTAAGTTTCTTTGAACCTCACAGACATCAACAAAAGGATCAGTAGGACATATCAGAGATCTAGTTTATTATTCTTGAAAATTAAGCTACAAGAAAAAAAATACGACAAGTGGCCAAACAAAATGTTTTCACGAGCTCATAAAAATGAGAAAGTGACATTCTTTATATATTTATCTGTAAGAAAATCCTATTACTGCGCCTTGCTTTCAACTTCGTTTTGTGAAAATTTGCTTAGCACTTTAAAAAAATGAACTATGTCTCATTAAAAAAAATATTGTTTAAGAAGCTTGACGGATACTAAAACAAATTCAATGATATAACGTTTTTCGACAGTTTTTTTTATTATGTTACTGAATCGAATACTTCATAGTATAGGTGTCTGTAGGTAGCTGATTTTATGCTGACTTATACCCATGAAAAAAACTGAGATGTAATCAACATGAAGGTCAAGTGATATTAACGAAGTCATTTTCGTATAAGTTAAGCAGCAGCATCAAATATAAATTTGAAAGCTTTTAATGGTATCACAAACAAACGTTAGATAGGAGATCCACTCTAAAAACTGATGGACAATATCATTCAAATTTCTTCCACTACTTATCAATTACGGGCTTATCAAACGAATAAGAGTTGTATTTCTTGGCAGGCCATATAGTTGATAATGGCATCTTCTTGAAAAACCGAATACTAGCATGCTGAAAATTTCTAGTTGACCTATCCTATTATCATTGTGCAGATTTGTTACTTTTTAATCATAGAAGAAATCTTACATTTATCTTTATATTTTCTTTATTTTTCAAAAATAAATGATTTATTTATTTTTATTTTATAAATATAAAGACTTTATTTATCTTTTTTTCTGAAATATAAAGAACACATTTATCTTTATTTTCTAAAACTAGAGATCTCATTTATCCTCACTTAAAAAAAAAGGTTTTTACAATTCTTTAATCTTTATTTTATAAATATAAAGACTTCAGTTATTTTTATTTTTTGGACTATAAACATTTTACTTATTATTATTCAGTAATATAAAGATCAATAAAGATAAACTAACACCACTAGCTGATATGGAACTTGAAGTATCCTTTTCAGTTTTCTTTTAATTCAGAGATTCTTCTCAGGTACTATTTTAAATTCATTCAGCGTGATAATGACTGACAAAGTCTTGACCAATTTAAATATATATATAATAAGATTGTAACATTCACCCACTTGTTTCGTACAAACACAAATCAGTTGTGCAATGCTCAGTTGAATCCACTGCGGAAAACAATTAATACCTTTAGAGACTTTATCTAAACTCTTTGTACTTAAAAGGTGAAGACAAACGGCAGTGAAATGCTTATTTTATTTTCAACTAGAAGAATTTTTCCTGAGCTGTCGAAATAGAATGGCTCATTCATAAACTATTTTCTGTTTCTGAGACGGTTTAATCGACATTATTGTATAGAATTTCCTGAAGTCGTCTCCAGTACCAACGACAGATTTTTCTGTTGACACCGAAATGATACTTACAGAATCAGCAAGCGTATGATGTACAATTTCATCAAAATGTTGACATAGAATTTTGAGTAATTGAATAGCAGGTGAATCTAAAGCAAAGCATGGTTCATTAGAACATATGTAAATTTATATAGTTACCAGTAATAAAAGCAGGTACTTTAACTAATTTTTCAAGTAAAATTGGTATTTGTCGTCTAACAGCAGCACTTAAATCAACATTTGTGGTCATTTTGACTTCTTCAAATATCTACAATAAAAATTAACTTTTTATTTGAATACAACGATCTGAGAAAACTAAAATTACCAGGAGTTGATTTGAATAACCTGGAAATTCTTTAAGAATTTCTGATGTTGGCTTTTCACGAATACATTGATGTCTAAAGTGGACAGTTTCTTGCCATAAGTGAAGTTGAGTATGTATATCAATATCAGACAAATCACGTAATTTTTCAGCTTTTGTTTGAATATTTTTTAATGTAGCATCATCATAGGTTAATAACATAATCTTTAAAAAAGACTAAAATAGAGGAGAAAAAATTGTATGTATTAAACATTTACTTGTTTTTGCCAGTCTTTTTGAGCAAGTTCACCAAATTGTTTTTTGACTGGACGACCAGAACCAATACGTGAATATTTTAATTGATAGTATTGAACTTCGGTATTATTTCGATTTTCAAATCTCTTTCTTTTGAGTTTTGTTTGAAGAGCATCTTTCCATATTGCCTGTGCGCGAAAAAAAAGATATCTATACTCATTGTTTCGCTTGTGTTGTCGTCTACTATGAAACTCGGATGACTATTGAATTGTATTCTGGAAAACTTATCTACATATATGAGAACTATCAGAATTAATCAAATCTATTAATTTTCAGGCTATGAAAGCATCAATACGAATATTTATATCTGTAAATAATAGAATCATAAACTTGACTATTTTTTAATTTTTCAAACTCGATATATTAATTCTTAAGGTTACCTCTCTAGCACTCAGAATTTCAAATAGGTTTCTGATAAATTAACTAGAAATGCTGTCTTTTCAATTTATCTATG